AATCTTTGCCAAGTGGATGGGACTTCAAAACTTTGCAGAGAAGACCCTCCAACAAATCCCAAAACGCCATATAGCATTGTCTGGAATGATTACCCCCTCAAGGGAGGTTCCTGTGCTGGTGAGGAGGCTCTGATTAGGGGAACTTGGTATCTGTGCTCCAGTTCCCTGAATTGAGCCTGAATACCTTCCATCCCCCCACATGCGCTGTATAATCCTACGGGTTTAGTGCTCCCTGTATTATAATAATATAATAATAATAATACTGGTGTGACCAGACTATGGTCACATTTCCAAAACATCCTGAGGAGAAGCAGAAGCAAGTTCCTTTTGGACCTGGTGAGCTAAACCAGGTCGAAATAGGGAAAAGAGGCAGAAAAAGAGACGGGGTACCTTCTTCCTTCCAAACAATAACATTTCATCCTCCTTCTCAAGCACTATCCTCGTTGGCACTCGACTCTTTTCGGCAAAATAAAGTGAGGTTAAATTTGCATTTATTTCATCTAATTCTTTTGTTTTTACCATATTTTCGTATTAAGCCAGTGTTTTAAATTTTTTTTTACAACCCCATCATTGTATAATCTGCAATAACATAGGATTTTTTTTTCATGGGAAGGATTAATCATTTTCCCTATACCATGGAACTCGGCTTATGAACGCCCCAATATGGGAACTTTTCAGGATACGAACCGTTATTCGGTCGATTTTTTGCTTCTGGATACGAACGAAATTTGAAGATGTGGACTTCCTCCTCAAGGGAGGTTCCTTAAATGAATAAATAAATAAATAAATAAAATATTTATTTCTCTGCAAAGGTTACAATGTGTGTTTACATATAACATGATTGGAGCAAAGACAGCCACTATCATTGCCGAGGCATTCTGGCAGACTTAACCTAATACTTATAGACTACTTAAGTCTAGACAGGTGAAAAGCAGTGGTTACCAATGTTTTGCTGATGGTGGTGCCAACTACTGGCAGCCTTTTGAAGTTTCTCACTGTACTGTTGTTGTTATTATTATTATTATTGTTGTTATTATTGTTATTAGTAGTAGTAGTAGTGCATACATGGTGAGGGGCTCTTGATCTATGGAATTGTATCTGTGCTCCAGTTCCCTAAATTAAGCCTGAATCAATATAATAATAATACGTATATAATAATAATGTACTATAATAATTATTATAATAATAGACGGACAACAGTTTTGGTAATCCCGCACCTCCTCCTAACTTCCAAACTACGAATTCTCTGCATTATATTCACGCCGCACATTGCCCTCAGACATGACATCACTGCCTCCAGCCTTCTCCTCGCTGCAACATTCATCACCCATGCTTCACACCCATATAAGAGCGTTGGTAAAACTATACTCTCATACATTCCCCTCTTTGCCTCCAAGGACCAAAGTCTTTGTCTCCACAGGTTCTAAGTGCACCACTCACCTTTTTCCCCTCATCATTTCTATGATTCACCTCATCTTCATGACCCATCCGTGGACAGTCCACTCAAATATTGAATACATTCACCCCCTCCATACTCTTCCTTCCAATCTGATCAATCTTTCATCACTACTCTTTTTGTTATCTCATAACCGTTATTCTTTCCTGTATTCACTTTTAATTTTTCTTTTGCATACCTACCAATTCATCCACCAATCTCTGCAACTTCTCTTCAGAATCTCCCAAGAGCACAGTGTCATCAGCAAAGAGCAACTGTGAGAAGTCCCACTTTATGTGTGATTCTTTATCTTTTAACTCCATGCCTATTGCCAAGAGGATTTGTTAGTTAAAAATAGGAGAGGAGAGTTATTAAATGGAGAGTTAGAGGTATTGGGAAGATGGAAGGAATATTTTGAGGAATTGTTAAATGTTGATGAAGATAGGGAAGCTGTGATTTCGTGTATGGGGCAAGGAGGAATAACATCTTGTAGGAGTGAGGAAGAGCCAGTTGTGAGTGTGGGGGAAGTTTGTGAGGCAGTAGGTAAAATGAAAGGGGGTAAGGCAGCCGGGATTGATAGGATAAAGATAGAAATGTTAAAAGCAGGAGGGGATATAATTTTGGAGCAGTTGGTGCAATTATTTAATAAATGTATGGAAGAGGGTAAGGTACCTAGAGATTGGCAGAGAGCATAAATTATAGGGGGATAAGTCTGTTGAGTATACCTGGTAAAGTGTATGGTAGAGTTATTATTGAAAGAATTAAGAGTAGACGGAGAATAGGATAGCAGATGAACAAGGAGGCTTTAGGAAAGGTAGGGGGTGTGTGGACCAGGTGTTTACAGTGAAACATATAATTTATTATTTATTATCACACTGGCCGATTCCCACCAAGGCAGGGTGGCCCGAAAAAGAAAAACTTTCACCATCATTCACTCCATCACTGTCTTGCCAGAAGGGTGCTTTACACTACAGTTTTTAAACTGCAACATTAACACCCCTCCTTCAGAGTGCAGGCACTGTACTTCCCATCTCCAGGACTCAAGTCCGGCCTGCTGGTTTCCCTGAACCCCTTCATAAATGTTACTTTGCTCACACTCCAACAGCACTCAAGTATTTAAAAAACCCTTTGTCTCCATTCACTCTCTATCAAACACGCTCACCCCATGCCTGCTGGAAGTCCAAGCCCCTCGCACACAAAACCTCCTTTACCCCTCTCTCCAACCTTTCCTAGGCCGACCCCTACCCCGCCTTCCTTCCACTACAGACTGATACACTCTTGAAGTCATTCTGTTTTTGCTTCATTCTCTCTACATGTCCGAAACACCTCAACAACCCTTCCTCACCCCCTGACAAAATTTTGGGAAATCCCGCACCTCCTCCTAACTTCCAAACTACGAATTCCTCTGCATTATAATTTACACCACACATTGCCCTCAACATGACATCTCCACTGCCTCCAGCCTTCTCCTCGCTGCAACATTTATCACCCATGCTTCACACCCATATAAGAGCGTTGGTAAAACTTTACTCTCATACATTGAACGTATTTAGATAAGGCAAAGAGGTTTCTGTGCATTTAGGGTTTTGGGGAAAGGGGTATGACAGGGTGGATGGGGGGAGCAATGGGGCAGATGTTGCAGGGTATGGTGTGGGAGGTGGTTACTGAAAGCAGGAAGAGTTTTTACGAGGATAGTAGGCTCAATTTAGAGTATGTGGGAAAAGAGGGAGATTTTTTCCCCAGTAAAAAGTAGCCTTTAGCAAGGAGTGTGAGTCACCGTGGTTTTTAAATATTTATGAGGGGGTTGTAAAAAGAAGTAAATGCGGGGGTTTGGCAAGACGGGGATTTAAAAGATAAAGAATCACAAATAAAGGGGGAGTTGTCACAGTTTTCTCTTTGCTATGCACGTTCTTTGGGAGATTTTGAGAGAATTGCAGAGGTTGGTGGGTGAATTTGGTTGGTATGCAAAAGAAGAAAATTAAAAGTAAATAAAGGAAAGATAAGGTTATGAGGATAACAAAAAAGATTAGGTAGAAAGATTGGATATCAATTGGAGGAGAGAGTAAAGGGGGAGGTGAATGATTCAATATTTGGAGTGGACGTGTCACGGATGGGTTATGAAAGATGAGGTGAATCATAGAACTGATGAGGGGGGAAAAGGGGTGAGCAGTGCACTTAGGAGTCTGTGAGACAAAGAACTTTGTCCCTTTGGGGGCAAAGAGGGAATGTAGAGGTATAGTTTTACCAAAGCTCTTATATGGGTGGAACCGGGTGATAATGTTGCAGAGAGGGAAAGGGTGGGGGCATGGAATGTCAAAGCTAAGGGCAATGTGTGTTGAAAATAAAACAGAAAATTGAGTTTGGAAGTTAGGGGGGGTGCGGGTTACCAAAAATGTTGTCCAGAGGGGTGAAGAAGGGTTGTGGGGGGTTCGGACATGTAAGAGAATGAAGCGAAACGGAATGACTCAAGAGGATCAGTCGTAGTGGGAAAGGAAGGCAGGGTAAGGGGCGGCAAAGGGAAAATTGGAGGAGGGGGGGAAGGGGGTTTTTTTTTGCGAGGGGCTTTTGGGCTTCCCGGGGCATGCGTAGCGTGTTGATAGGAGTGAATGGAACAAATGGGTTTTTTAAAAAACTTGACGTGCTGTTTTGGGGTGCGAGCAAAGTAACATTTTTGAAAGGATTCAGGGGGAAAACCCGCAGGGCCCAAAATGGTCCTGGAGATGAGAATACAGTGCCTGCACTCTGAAGGAGGGGTGTTAAAGTTCGTTTAAAAATGTAGTGTAAAGCACCCTTCGGCAAAACAGTGATGGAGGGAATGATGGGGAAAGTTTTTTTTTTGGGGGCCCCCCTGCCTTTTGGGAATCAGCCAGTGTTTTTTAAAAAAAATGAAAATTCATTCAACAGCTGTCAATGTTACCCAAAAACTTGTAAACACAATGGTAATCATTTATCAACAGCTGTCTTGCAAGTGTACAGACACCACAGTTTAAATGAACCTCTGAACTGCAACATCCCTATTTACTGTCCTGGTAAATATCTCAACCTGGGTCTTAATCCAATTCTCTCCCACTCAATGGTTCACTGGAGCACATTGCCAGAAATACAAACTGCGTAATTAAACTCAGTTTCTGCAATGTTTCACTAACACAAATATTATGACAATGAACAAGATATTACAAAGATCCCAAATGAAATAAGTCACTGTCTTCTCTGGGTTATCCTGGCTAATTTACACACCTATTGCTAGGTATGATAATTATACTTAAGTCTACCTGTCCCTAAATAAACTTACTTTCTCAGCATTGTGGGAAGAAACTCATAATATTTACAGAATGCTTTATGTACTAGATCATTCAGCAGTCTTCTCCATAACAAAGTACTATACATACACTCATTCATATTAATACTCAAACTTGTCAGTAATAAAGTATATGCACAATAAAACACCCAACCCTCAAAAATACAAACATTTACACTAGCAAGCTTCTGGTAATTATAAAAATCACATCTTAGGCAAAATGATCTCAGTGCAGTGGAACACTGTAAATTAACATTAATAGCCATCTTACTTGAGCTTAATCTGTGTAGGGCCATCATGTTTTGCAATGGCTTTTAGATGATCCCATGATTCTTTACAGTCGACCTCAATCTTGGCAATGTTATTAGACAGCTCCTCGAAGTCCACGTTTGATGCACGGGTGATTGAGCCAATCTACATAAAAAAAATTTAAGAGGTTAATTGGCACTCAATGTCTAAGACAGTGGTTCCCAACCTTTTTTGCATCGTGCCCCACCTTGACACCTCAAAAAATCTCACATGTCCCCTGATATAAAAATAAATTTTGATGTTAAATTAGACACTTCTTCATCTAAAACTTTATTTGTACCCCCATTCCCAGACACTTCAACAGAGAGAAACTGTACATGAAATACGTCTTTGCCTGAGATAACAGCTATAGCTAGTAAGACTTATTTAACGTGAAATACTTCAGAATCGGGGAAATTGGTTCCGTGACTCAACCATGTAGTGATGGCTGGCAGATATGTTTTTCTTTTTAGGTTGCTCTGCTTCCATGCGAGATGAACAGTACATAAAAATAAAGGCAAATTACAAAATATATCATCTAAAGAATAGCAATACAGTCAATATCATAAGAAGACATTGAAAGCACTTACCTCCGAATAAAGATCTGATGAATATGAACATTTTTCAATAACCATGTGACACAGATGGTGAAGCAGTGAATGTTTATGAACGGTATCCTTCACCTCCGGCACTTTGGACAAGTACTCAATTTGGAAGCCTCGACATTCTGTGCCATTAAGGAAGTTACCAATGGAGAGAAGAACAGATAACATTATCTTGAAAGTGCGATTCTTTTGAAGGTCTTCTGTGCTTTGCTTCAAGTCCATCAAGGGTTCTGCCACCTCCTATTGGAAACAGACAGGAAATTTTATTGAGCAAGAGTCTGACTGATCACTGTCACCATCAACACTCAAGTTTCAAACAATTTTTTTTTTTTTATTTTGTGGCCCAAATATAATGTAGTTTCTTCTTTTAACAAACTGGCCATATCCCACCAAGGTAGGGTGGCCCAAAAAGAGAAACTAGAGTTTCTCTAGTTTCTACTGTTTCTCTAGTTTCTAATGTTAAAAAGAGAAACTAGAGTTTCTCTTTTTAACATTAGTAATATATACAGGAGAAGGAGTTACTAGCCCCTTGTTCCTGGTATTTTAGTCGTCTCTTACGACATGCATGGCTTACGGAGGAAGAATTCTGTTTCACTTCTCCATGGAGATAAGAGGAAATAAACAAGAACTAGTAAGAAAATAGAAGAAACCCAGAGGGGTGTGTATATATAAGCTTGTACATGTAGCAAGAGACATACTTGAAACCTTGCCTGTTTATGAGACAGAAAAGACACCAGTAATACTACCATCATGTAAAACAATTACAGGTTTCCGAATTACACTCACTTGGCAGGACGATAGTACCTCCCTGCGTGGTTGCTGTCTACCAACCTACTACCACAGGACAGTAGTACCTTCCTGAGTGGTTGCTGTCTACCAGCCTACTAACACTGGAGAGTAGTACCTCTGTGGGCAGTTGTTGTCTACCAACCTACTACCACAGGATGGTAGTACCTCCCTGGGTGGTTGCTGTCTACCAACCTACTACCACATGACAATAGTACCTCCCTGGGTGGTTGCTGTCTACCAACCTACTACCATAGGATGGTAGGACCTCTGTGGGTGGTTGCTGTCTACCAACCTACTACCACAGGATGGTAGTACCTCCCTGAGTGGTTGCTGTGTACCAACCTACTACCACAGGATGGTAGTACTTCCCTGGGTAGTTGCTGTCTACCAACCTACTACCACAGACGGTAGTACCTCCCTGGGTGGTTGCTGTCTACCAACCTACTACCACAGGATGGTAGTACCTCTGTGGGTGGTTGCTGTCTACCAACCTACTACCACAGGATGGTAGCACCTCCCTGGGTGGTTGCTGTCTACCAACCTACTACTACAGGATGGTAGTACCTCCCTGGGTGGTTGCTATCTACCAACGTACTACCACAGGACGATAGTACCTCTGTGGGTGGTTGCTGTCTACCAGCCTACTACCACAGGACGGTAGTACGTCCCTAGGTGGTTGCTGTCTATCAACCTACTACCACAGGATGGTAGTACCTCCGTGGGTGGTTGCTGTTTACCAACCTACTACCACAGGATGTTAGTACCTCCGTGGGTGGTTGCTGTCTACTAACCTACTACCACAGGACGGTAGTACCTCCATGGGTGGTTGCTGTCTACCAACCTACTACCACAAGATGGTAGTACCTCCCTGGGTGGTTGCTGTCTACCAACCTACTACCACAAGACGATAGTACCTCCCTGGGTGGTTGCTGTCTACCAACCTACCTAAAATATTGTAGTTTATATGTAACAAAACATTGCTAGGCACAAAAAAAGTCACTAATGCAATTCAGGCAGACTAATTGGAATGTTCAAAGACTTAAGAATTGGAGTATTAAGTAGAGTTTCTTATGGCGTGAAGAAGCATTTCCATGCATCAGTATTATTATATTCATGGAAAGTGCTAAACCCACAAGGTTCATTCAGTGGAACATGGCAGAGGTGAACAAGATTTCAGAACAGAAGGAGGAGGAGGAGGTGTTGAGGGAAGGACATGACAGAATGGGTGGGTAAGTAAGGGAAAATGCTGTTAAAAAAATTCTGCAATAAAGGTGAAAGTCTCAGAGAACAACACAGGCAAAGCAACCATGTCAATCATCAGCTAAATGTCGCAGCAAATTCTGATGAAAGGGAGAAAAATTACCCTGTTTCTGTTATTACCTTTTCCATATTCTCATAGTCTAGTTTAAAGATCCAGAGTTTTAATCTGGCAGGAAGTTCAGATATGGACGACAGCATCATCAGAAACTGTTCTGCTGACCCCAGAGAAAGTTCAGGGTTGCAAATGGCAGCTTCTTGAATCTTGTGCTTCTCTTCTGGTGTTGGTAACATCGTAGTCAATAATTTCTGTAAGATAACAAAATTAATTATTCAGTGCAAAACACTGTCACTTGTAGGTCCTAGAGTATACTGGAGGGTGGTTTTGAAGATCAACGCCCCAATGGCCCGGTCTATGACCAGGTCTCATGGTGGACCAGGCCTGATCAAGCAGGCTGTTACTGCTGGCAGCACAGAGACTGACGTAGGAACCACAGCCTGGTTGGTCAGGTACTGACTTTAGGTACCTGTCCAGTGTCTTCTTCAAGACAGCCAGGGGTTTCTTATTCAGATAGGATCTCGTGACCAATAGAAATATAATAGGCCTAATTATTATTAACAAAGTCTAGAATAAATCATTAAATTATTAAGAGGACTTACAAGCTATCTAAATAGTGTGCAGGTGTACAAGTATATAGGTGGACAGGTGTACAAGTGTACAGGTGCACAAGTGTACAGGTGCACAAGTGTACAGGTGTACAAGTGTACAAGTGCACAAGTGTACAAGTATACAAATGTAATAAACATCCACATTCATCAATGAGGTTTAAACTGACTACACTAAAGAAGAGATGAAGATGTTGGTGTTGGAAAGTTCATCTGAACTGTGGTGTCAGCTCACTTCTGGCAAGACAGTGACAGAATGAATGATGGTGAATGTGCTTCCTATTTGTTGTGGTGAGTCACCACTACCTTGGTGAGAGATGGCTGGTGTGTTGGCAAGACAGTGACAGAGACGATGGTAATGTGCTTCCTTTTCTGTTGTGGTAAGTCACGCTACCTTGGTAAGAGATGGCTGGTGTGTTGAACAAAGAAAAAGAAGTCCAAGTCATTAATAATTCCTTCATTAACTGGAATACCAGAAATGTGATTCATTTGTTAACTGGAACATCACTAATTATAACTACAGTATTTTGTTAAATGGAACAACAGCAATGCAAGCCTAGTCCAATAAATGTCTCCTGGAGTTTAACCCCACCAAGTGTAAAGTCATAAAGTTTGGTGAAGGACAAATAGATGGAGTGGCCAGTGGCCTGGTGGCAAAAGTTCTCATTTCACATGGTGAGCGTCCAGGTTTGATTCCCGGTGAGGGTTGAAAACATTGGGCAAGTTTCCTTACACAGGCTGTCTATGTTCACCATCAGTGAATATAATGCAGAGAATTCGTAGTTTGGAAGTTAGGAGGAGGTGCGCGATTACCAAAACTGTTGTCCAGAGGGCTGAGGAAGGGTTGTTGAGGTGGTTCGGACATGTAGAGAGAATGGAGCGAAACAGAATGACTTCAAGAGGGGTATCAGTCTGTAGTGGAAGGAAGGCGAGGCAGGGGTTGGCCTAAGAAAGGTTGGAGGGAAGGGGGTAAAGGAGGTTTTGTATGCGAGGGCTTGGACTTCCAGCAGGCATGCGTGAGCGTGTTTGATAGGAGTGGAGAAAATGGTTTTTAATACTTGACGTGCTGTTGGAGTGTGAGCAAAGTAACATTTATGAAGGGGTTCAGGGAAACCGGCAGGCCGGACTTGAGTCCTGGAGATGGGAAGACAGTGCCTGCACTCTGAAGGAGGGGTGTTGATGTTGCAGTTTAAAACTGTAGTGTAAAGCACCCTTCTGGCAAGACAGTGATGGAGTGAGTGATGGTGAAAGTTTTTCTTTTTTCGGGCCACCTTGCCTTGGTGGGAATCGGCCAGTGTGTTAATAAAAAAAAAAAAGGCAAAATACCGTGACTGAAACAATACACAACTAATCCGATGTAATTAATGGTCCACATCGGACCAAAATGTTGTCATAAGTTTTTTTCTCCTATGTGTGGGTTGTGTAATGAATATATATTTATCATTATTAATATGTCTATCTACTCCAATCTACTCCCTGACTACTTTACAAAAGAAAGCCCTACTAACAGGCTTGTCTAAGATGTACACTAAGTGGAAAAGAGCTGGGATAATTTGACCATTGGGATGTTTTGGATACATTCATAAAAAGTCATGATACCAACATTATCAAATACAGTAAGGCCCCGCTTTACGGCGTTTCGCCTTACGGCGTTCCGCTAATACAGCAATGTCAAATTATGACCAAAATTTGCTATATGGCAAGCGGCTTTTCAAATACGGTGCCCCCATCCGGTTTGTTTACATTTTCTGTGACCACATCTATTATGTCAGGAAACTTTCCAAAATTTCAAGTGTTTTTAAGTTACTGCATATTTTATATATACTCTGATAATTATACTTAGGTGTACCTGTACCTAAATATACTTACACACTGTGCTGGTGTGCAGGTACACATTAAAATCGCTAAGTCTCTCTCTACTCATGACGCCAATACTACGTAATAATAATCACTCTTGGGGACATTAAATGTCTTATTTTACATCAATATAGGCATTTTCATTAATCCATCTATGATATTTTCCTCAAAATTATATATGAAACCCATTACATAGCATATAAACATGATACATACACTCAGAATAAAAATTGATGTAAATATGAGATTTGTTTACCCAAAGCAGCTGTGTAGGTAGTGTCGGAAGAATTACGTTTTCTCTAGTCAAACGGGGATAAAATGTAGAAAAATATTCTTTTTGTATGCCTTTATATATAGCAATTCACGACCCTTGTGGGTTTAGTGCTTTTTATAATAATAATTTAAAAATAATAAAAATTAATAATAATAATAATAATAAATAATATAATATTATTATTATTATTATTATTATAATTAATATTAAATAATAATAATAATTTTTATTATTATTATTATTATTATTATTAATACAGTGGACCCTCGACCAACGATATTAATCCGTTCCTGAGAGCTCACGTTAATCGAAAATTATCGTTAGTCGAGTTAATTTTCCCCACAAGAAATAATGGAAATCAAATTAATCCCTTCCTGACACCCAATGTATTGAAAAAAAAAATTTACCACATGAAAAATTAATTTTAATACCACACAAACTGAAGAAGACATGCACAGTTACATGACAACTTACCTTATTGAAGATCTGGTGATGACTGATGGGATGGGAGGAGGGGAAGTGTTGATGGTGTTAGTGTTTAGAAGGGGAATCCCTTCCATTAGGACTTGAGTTTGGCAAGTCCTTTCCGGGGTTATTTAATTCTTTTAATGCCACTAGGACCAGCTTGAGAGTCACTGGACCTCTGTCGCACAACATATCTCCTCCATAGAAGTCTGTACTTCCGTTCCTTTAAAGACATTCCTAAAGTGTTTCACAACATTGTCAGTGTACAGGTTGCCAACATGGCTTGCAGTAGCTGTGTCAGGGTGATTTTCATCAAAAAAGGTTTGCACTTTAAGCCACATTGAACACATTTCCTTAATGTTTGAAGTAGGCAACTTCTTCAATTTCTCTATCCCCTCCTCTGAAGCAGTTTCCTCTGGTGTGGCCTCTTGCTGTTGAAGATGATCTAGCGCTCATCAGTGGTTAGTTCTTCATTGTCCTCCTCCACCAACTCTTCCACATCCTCCCCACTACCCTCCAACCCCAAGGACTTCCCCAATGCCTCAATGGATTCCTCAACTGGCATAGGATTCTCAGGGTTAGCCTCAAACCCTTCAAAATCCCTTTTGGCTACACATTCTGGCCACAGTTTTTTCAATTATATCACATAAATGTTAAACCTAAAACCCAATCTAACTTTATTATTTTTTAAATACACTACCTAACAGAATACTCCATTCTACTGAATGTACAACAATGCATACAACCATATGACCTGTCTTTGTAATACTCACTTGTGCTTTATAGTAATCTGTTTACATTAAAGTTTTATCACCGATGTCATCATTGCTTAGTTCATCTTAAGTTAATTTTAAGCCAGCCCGTAATGCTATGCATAGTATAAGTGGCTTTGGCATACTGCTCTTTTCTGTATTTTTTGTACCTCTGTATGTGTGCACAAATTTTTAAATAAATAAATAAATAAATAAATAAAAAAGCAGAGTTCAAGGTCCTCTTAGTCACTTCCTCCCAAGCCTTACCTATAATGTTTACACAATTGAGGATGCTAAAGTGATCTTTCCAAAACTCTCTTAGAGTCAACTGAGTTTCTGAGGTCACTAAAATGCACCTTTCAAACAGAGCTTTTGTGTACAGTTTCTTGAAGTTTGCAATGATCTGCTGGTCCATGGGCTGCAGGAGAGGAGTGGTATTAGGAGGCAAGAACTTCACCTTAATGAAGCTCATGTCCACAGAAAGTTGCTTTGCCAAGTCTGAAGGATGACCAGGAGCATTGTTTAATACCAGGAGGCACTTAAGGTCCAATTTATTTTCCAGGAGGTAATTTTTCACAGTGGGGGCAAATGCATGGTGTAACCAGTTATAGAAAAAGTCCCTAGTGACCCATGCCTTACTGTTTGCCCTCCACAGCACACACAAATTAGCCTTGAGGACATTGTTTTTCCTGAACACTGGGAGTTTCAGAGTGATACACCAATAAAGGCTTCACTTTGCAATCACCACTAGCATTGGCACACATCAACAGAGTAAGCCTGTCTTTCATAGGCTTATGTCCTGGAGTGCCTTTTCCTCCTGAGTAATTGTAGGTCCTGCTTGGGATTTTCTTCCAAAACAGGCCCGTTTTTTCACAATTAAAAACTTTTTCAGGTTTCAGTCCTTCACTGTCTAGTACTCCTTGAATTCCTCACATTTTTCAGGCTTTGTGGTTGAACTGGCAGCCTCATCATGCTTTTCACACGTGATGCCACTACAAATCTTAAAACTCTCAAAAACCCAAACCTTTGCTGGGCCTTTAAATTCACTCACATCACCACTAGTTGCTGGCATTTTTTTAATTAAATCGTCATGCAACTTCCTAGCCTTTTCACATATGATCGCTTGAGAGATGCTATCTCCTACTATCTGTTTTTTGCTTATCCACACCAATAACAGTCTCTCAACATCTTCTATCACTTGCGATCTCAGTTTCGAAAACATAGTTGTACCTTTGGCAAGAACAGCTTCCTTGATTGCCATTTTCTTGCCCACAATAGTAGCGATGGTTGATTG